ATGTTGGGGTGCAGAGTTACATCTACGCCTATCGAGCAGAATCTTAAGATGTGTGCCGAGGGTGGTGACCCAGTGAGTAAAGAGCAATATCAAAGACTAGTTAGACGACTTATATATTTATGCCATACGAGACCTGATATCACTCATGCCGTGAGTGTGGTGAGTAGATATATGCATGATCCTAGAGAGCAGTATATGGAGGCAGTTCGCAGAATTCTTGGATATATTAAAAGAAGCCCAGGAAAGAGGTTGTGGTTCAGAAGTTCTAGACATCTGAGAATTGAGGACTACTGTGATGCTGATTGGGCGAGTTGTATGGATGATCGTAGGTCCACTACAGGTTACTGTGTATTTATTGGAGGTAATCTCCTATCTTGGCGTAGCAAGAAGCAAAATGTGGTGGCTAGGTCTACAGCTGAGGCGGAGTACAGGGCTATGGCAGTTGGTCTATGCGAGTTGATGTGGGTCAAAAACATATTATCTGAGCTGCGTTTGTTTAGAAGAGACTCCTTACAACTTTGGTGTGACAACAAATCGGTGATTAATATTACAAACAATCCAGTTCAGCATGATCGCACCAAACATGTGGAGATCGATCGGTTCTTTATCAAGGAGCAACTGAATAGAGGAGTTTTGACTTTGAGATATGTGAAATCAGAAGAGCAGTTAGCTGATTGTTTAACAAAAGGATTAAGTTCTAGAGAGTATGATATAGTCTTCAATCTCATCTTCAATCCCGTCGAGCTCGTCTTCAATCCCGTCGAGCTCGTCTTCAACCGGGATCTGGTCTTCAATCTCGTCGAGCTCGTCTTCGATCCTGCCTGGGAGCTCGTCTTCGAGTTCGAGCTCAACTTTCGAGCTCGTATTCGAGTTCATCTTCGAGTTTGTCTTCAAGTTCGTCTTCGAATTGGTCTTCACTCTTCAAGTTCGTCTTCGAAACTGCCTGGGAGCTTCGTCTTCGACTGGGAGCTTCGTCTACGAGTTCGTCTTCAACTGGGAGCTTCTTATTCAAGTTCGTCTTCATCTCCTCTGTAAGTAAAGGACTAAAGACGCTTAGCACAGATAACTTTGGATATTTTGGATTTCCCCCTTTTTTTTATTTGCACAGATAACTTTGGATTTGTATTACACAACTTCATGTTTAAACCTCGTAAACATGTACAGATTATGCAAGATTATGCAACATTAACGATGTTTTCACACATTAATCCACTTTTATTAAATGTTAACTTAATATATTTATATTATATTAAGTTTAATTGTTTAAGTTTAAACTGTAAATCTCAGAATTTTGAAAGAGAAAGTAAATATGTAATCATGGGGCTGTTTAATTGTTTAAGTTTAATTTTAAGTTCATTTTAAGTTTATAAGTAATTTTTGTTGTTCAAGGTTGTTCAAAGTTTAATTGTTCAAAGATTACATTTGTCCAAAGATTACAACTGCATTTGTTCAAAGATTACAACTGCATTTGTTCAAACTTCAAAGATTACATTTGTCCAACAGGACTGCATTTGTTCAAAGATTACAATTGCATTTGTTCAAAGATTACAAGTTTACAACTGTACATGGATCACCGCATTCACCTTGTAGTGATAGTTGCAGCAATAACGAATGAAGTTGCTGTTTTTTACCTACAAAATAGAACAATAATAAGTTTGGATAGCATATGTGTTGGTATTTTTGTATTTATGCAATGTTGATTGAGTATATATATATATATCTCTTCAAGTATCACAATTAAAAAAAGAAAAGAAAAAAACCGCCCAGAAACCGCTTAGGCGTCCGCCTAGGCGTCTAAGCGCTGGGCGCCAAGTCCGGCGCCTAGGAGCGCCTAGCGTTTAATGTAACATTGTCTATCGCCCATCTTGAGGGGGAGTGTTGAGTTATTTAGATAGTAATTAGTCAATGTTATAAGGACCTATTTGTAATAGTGCACTTATATAAAATGGGTACCTCTCTATGATAGAGAATAACCCTAATTTTCACCCAAAACTCCACAGTGTTAAACCTAAAGAGATTGGCCTACTGCTAGGGATATATATCAGGTCAGGAGTTGTCATTGTTTGGCCACATTTTATAGGATGTTTGTCAAGGACTATGTTGCACAAATACAGTTGCGAGAGCAGATACAGACACGACAAATTTGTAAAAGATAGGATACAGGGACATGGCTTTATATAATACCATTATTGGGAAAAGCCTTGTTACCATAACATGCTATATTGCGTTATGTAATATAACTTACATTATTTCAAATTAAGTTTTAGAGACATGAGAGTATATTCTTTCTTAAACTTGAAGTAGTTAAATAATTACTTTTGAATTGTTTGATAAGTCTTAATGTCATATTTTAGTGACATCATTATGTGATTGTAAAACTATGAATATGACTAATAAAATGGATGTAATATGAACAACCTATAAATTTATGATTATATATTTTTATATATTTGAGTATTCGATGGTGATACTTCCTAGTAAATCTACATAGCTTGTATTAAGTAGAGAATTTTTATTAAAATATTTTTCTATATATTTTGTTCTTAATTCTTAAAATTATTATGAACATCTTTTATGTTTTTTAAATTAAACAATATGAAAAATGTTGTTCCTAATTGTGATGTTATGTTTGAAAGTTTTCATAGTCATTATGAATATTATATATATATATATATATATATATATATATATATATATATATAAATAATGTAATATATATATATATATATATAATGTAAATAATAATTAATAAACAAAGTAACCTACGTTATGCGGTACATCTTTTTGCGTTTTTTAACCCATAATAGGTGGTAAAATGTTACATCATGTGTTATTGTTATTTCCAACATTGATGTACACATGAAAATTAATAAATATGAATATTATTTTGTAATTCAGATATTATGATAAATAAATTTCCTATAGCATTTGCATGTTCCTTTTATTGAGTAAATTATAAATTGGAAAACTACACATTTTGAAGTAGATACTAAAATGACCCTTTGAAAGCATACTTATGAACTGGGTCTGAATTGAAACGAGCCGAACTAAAGTCCAACGAGCTGCAGAAAACTGATAGTTAGGATTGATTCTGTTGTTAAGTTAGGATTATTTTGTTAGAATGTGTTATTTGATCTTATCTAGTAATTAGGATTAGATTTTGCTTTATTCTTAGAAAAGGGTTGTATTTCTTCATTTTATGGGAAGGAGTAAAAATGTTTGTGAGAAAACGTGCATGTGAATTACAGCTAGAATTAGACATGTGAGTTGCTAGCATGTGAAGTGCCCGAGTATGAAGCTCATCATTTGTAACTTTTTTCTTTAAATGAAGAGTACAATTTCTACACTAGAATTTTTTTAATTTTTCTCTATCCAAATAATCATTCCTAACAGAACACTATGCTTCTATTCATCATCATTTGGTATCAGAACCGAAGAGAACCATTGTTGTAGTTTTTATCATCGACAATGCAATAATTCAAAATCTATCAATGCTATGCAATTTTAAACTAAAGGATGAGTTTCTTCAAGAATGAGATATTTGATGCAGGATAGATCTAGATCTAAATTTGGCAGAAGATTTGATGAAGATTTTAATTAGACTTTTATTTTTTCGGATTTGATTATTCATTCAGTTGAGATCTTTAGTTAGGAACTTAAGATTGAATTTGTTACTTAGGATTATTTAGTTAGAATGTGTTATTTATTATATATTAGTTAGCAAGGTTTTAAATATCGGTTATCAGGAATTTATCGGACGACCAAAATTCTTATCGGATAGCGAAAATCGGGGATATATTGGGGATAAGTAGTATTTATCGGAGTGATATACTAGATGGTGTATATATATAATATAATAACTAAAAAATGTAATCTAACTATGCTTAATGAAATATAAACATACCAAAATGTAAATCATCATGTTTAGAATCACTAATTAATTGTAGAAAGCAAAACTTGCATCTTGACCGCACGATGAAACCATTCGATTGCATAGCCTTACTTATCGGCCGATAATCCCGACAAAAAAATATTACTTATCGGCCGATAAGTACCGATAACGCCGATAACTCCCCGATAACTTGCCAAAAACGATAACCGATTAAAAATCCAAGTTATCCTATCGGAGAGCTCCCAAATCCGATAACTCGGCCGATAATATCGATTACCGGCCGATATTTAAAACAGTGTTAGTTAGGATTAGGTTTTGTTTTATTCCTATAAAAGGGATTGTATTTCTTCATTTATGGGGAGAGAAAAATGTTTGTGAGAAAACATATATGTGAATTGCAGCTAGTATTAGGTACGTGAGTTGCGGGCATGTGAAGTGCCCGAGTGTGAAGCCTATTATTTGGATTTTTTTTATTTTTTGTTAAAGGAAGTGTCTAATTTTTATATTTGTGTTTTCTTATGTTGGTTTATCCAAAGAATCATTCCGAGCAGAACACTACGCTTATGTTCCTCATCACACAAGGTGTTTTTGTTTTGGCGAAAACATCATGGTTCCCAAATGCTCCCTAAATTCTCACACATATAACACAATCTGGAGCACTAAGATTAAAACAGAGGGGAGATTCATTGACATTTGGAAACCTATCCCTTCTACCTAGAAACTACAGTCAATATTAGGCGAAAGAAAACACGAGAGATGAAAACTGTTTCCTACAATGATGATGTCATTTAATAATGTGATGTGAACACAGAAACTTGCTACACTATTTGCAAATATCAAATGCAATAACAATTCAAAAAGCAAATAATGTGCACTCAAAAACTTGTAAAATATTAACTACAAAAGAGACAAAGATGTTACTAACAATAATGATGCCTTTCCTTATGTGATTACAGAAATCTTCTGCATTATATATAGGTAAATAAGTACCATGACAATCCCAGACGCAAGCAAAAGAATTGCTCATTCTATACTATAAACATGTAAAGCGTTGATAATTTCACACAGGTGTAATCAGGTCAAAAGATCAGCAAACTAGGAGACTTACTTTGCACATTGGAGCAACAAGAAGCAAACCATCCCACTCCTTTTGTTGCTTTAAGTGAACCTTGAGAGCAACTGCACCACCCATAGATTGTCCCAATAGAAAGTGGGGTAGCCCTCTAACTTCCTTCATTGCTGTATTAAGAACCACTATTCAAGATTATTATTCATTTTCCTACAAGTGATAATGGCTGCTTGGATTATGATTTTGATGCATAACTTGAAAGGATCTTTTGAAACCTCTTGTAAATATTCAAATGGTGCTATTGTTATAGGAGTTAGCATCACTATTCCTCAAGCAGGTAGCAAGCAGAGCAAAATGATAAGGATGCCACCATATAAGCAGGTAACCTTAGTTGACTTCTTATGCTTTTGTCTTACCAGAGAAACATAAAATCAAAAAACATGCATTTTCATTACAGCACACACATCTGAACACCAGGATACTAATCTATGGATAGAAACATGAACCCTCCGCTAATAACCTGGTCATCAGGTCATGCTTATGTTAACTTTAGGCATTGAAACTGCAGCAGGAACTCGGGACTTTTTCACTCATAAGGAGGTTATCAGCCATAAGGTTATGCCTATTTTGATTATTGCTGTCGAAGATGCAGTAGGACCTCCGAAATGGAGTTAAAATATATGAAACCCTAACATTGTATGTGAAGCTTCTCTCATTATCCATAGAAAACAATAGTCAGGGGTAGGTTTCCTTGTATGAGTTAGTAGAATGCAAGTCTAGGCAGGAATGTTTTAGGATTAAAGCAGCTACAATTATTGAGTAAACTATGGGAATTTTAGAAATATAAATTATAATGTTCAACTCTCGCCATATTTAAGAGTTTTGGTATAGAGGCAGGGACTTTAATATGGTACTACGGCAATTATCCTGGCAGATGAACAAGGGCTTCCTGTCTCATGTAAACCATAGACCAACTAATCAAACCAATTTCCCCCTCTCCCCCTCCCCCTCTGAAGGAAAAGAAGAACACAATTACTCTAGTTACCAAACACATGCACTAAAAGAAACAAGAAATGACTACTCAAGTTACCATACCAGGGGAACACTACTCATTGTCTTACTTTCTATTATCAATCTCTTTCTTTCAATTTTCCACAGCAATCTGTGCCTCTCGCAATCCCTACCTTAGCCGACAGACACTGTCATAACAGTTCCATTCTCTTTTCCTCTGTCTAACAATCTGCATCTGCTATGTTGTTAACATCCTCAACTAAGATTATTGACAAACTTGATTCTAAAAACTATTTATCCAACTTGTTGCTTCCTATATTTGATATCTGTAATCTACATGGACACACTGATCATAGTTGGTTCTCTCTCCTGATCAATTTGTTCTTATAGGAAACCAATTCTAAACCTTGGTTATGCCTAATGGAAGAACCTAGCTTGTTTGATTCTAACAGGGATTGTTCTCATTGCATAGGACAACCTCTTCGAGAGAAGAGGTCATTTAATACAAAACCACTCAAGTTCAAACACCATAATATATGCATTTCAAAAGTAGACTTACAAACAGGACTTTGAATAGCCTAGGTTCCAGCATTGCTCCCAACTTGCCATCATGTGTGAGAAAATAAAATTATGACCCTCAAATCTTACCACAATTTCAGAGTTCTAATATAGTCAAAGGACTTAAGATCTAGAAAAGATCATATGGCTTGGTGAATTATCACCAAGATGGGTAGATCGAGAAAGGCAAAGTACTTTCGCAAGGACATTGGAACCTGGTAATAGCAGAGAGAGCTAAAATTATGTCGACACGTAGTTTTAAAGCATGGTCAATCTTTCGAAGAAAATTACCATGATAGGGAAAGGCTTAGGTGTACATGATGATGATGATGATGATAAAAGCCAACAAGACCAATAACGAGCTGGTAAAGAATACGAACCTCTGATGACGGTGTATTGCTCAATGACATAATCCACCATCTTGTCAAAGCTTGGAATATAGCCATGCAAGCCTTGTGAGAGGCCAAAGCCTGGGTAATCCATAGCATAAACAGCATAGCCTGCAGCTGCTATTCTCTTCGCAACCCCTGGAACATTTTTAACATGTCAATATCAATCAGAGAACTACCCTACCAAACCGGATTGATTGAGCTGGTCTGCAAACCTTCAAAGAAGAAAGTGCAGGTATCACCATAGCCATGGCAGAAGAATAAGGCGGCCTTGGTGGCCACGCCAGGACTTGGCAACCAACTCTTCCAGAATATCTCCCATCCCATTGAATTTTTCTCATATCTCTGCAAACCAGTTCAATATTCATACAGGACAATCAACAAACACATTGTGTGCCACTGTACTAATGTAACCTCCCTTGAACTAGAAAATTCTACAACAAGCTGAACTAAAAACTTAAACTATTAGGAAATGTACAAATAACAGTCTTATATGTGAAGGTGTTTCCTTATGAAGAAGCAGTTATGAGATTTCGGGCTTTTGGGAGTCTATAGGCATTTGGAACCACTTTTAAGAGAATATCCGGTGCGTCTAAACCATACGTGTGCCAAAAAGATACCAAGCCTTGCATCACTGGATTTAGAGATAAGCGGTTTGCATATTGATCCAAGTGTTGATATCCTTTGGTTCACAATTATAGCAGGATACATTGAATACTTCCTCATATGAAACATTTGTAATTGTACCTTATTTGATGTACTATTAGAAAAGTTTAATTATTTATCCGTTGTGAAGTTTCTTTCTCATCATTTCTTAAATGAATACCCTCCTTAGCAATAAATTGAACTGACAGCGAGATTTTTCCAACAAAACAAACTAAAAATATTGAAATCAATTTAGCGTACTCACCTCCGCCACTTGTATCCCAGCGGGAGCATTCTGCAAAATAAGTAAAAAAGAAAAAAAAAGCAAATATCACTGTTAGAAACTCCTCAAGAATTGGAAATAACTTGCAACTTAAACCCTAAACAAGAAAAATAGGTGATATTTCAAAGGACAAATCTGCGATAAAAATCGGACTTTAAACAAGCAATGATCGAGATTCTGCTGAACATCGACGAACGCCTTGCGCACTCGCCTCCGATCGGTCGCAGAGTCAAGGCTCTTCATGGCGATAGCGTTAAGCTCGTAGCTCAAACCCTCGATCGCCGCCCTTCTCGCCGCCACGATCGGGGCCGTCCGTACGCTGTTGATTTGGATAAATCTGTGCCGTACGATCGGTGATCGGAGGGTTTGCTTCCATTGGAGAGCTTGGGAGTGGGAGATTACCATGGGGCTTGTTACTTGTCGCACCTAAGTGGACTGAGGAAGAAGTCTTTATTTGTTCGAATTATTAATTTTTCCTTTTGGGCTGTTTGGTTGTTGTTGGTAAAGTTGTGTATTTATGAAACAACTTTTTGTTGTCCACCTCATCAATTTTATTTTTATACTTTTCTTTGCTTGTTTTTTATTCCATTGGAATCATAAATTGCTTGTTTGGTTTGTAAATGTAACTTTAATTGTTTGTTTGGAAAGTGTAAAAAGTGGTCCCTACTCAAATGATCATATTGGTTGGAATTATTTTTTATTATTTTTTCCTGACTTCAATGTCAGCTTTCTCCTAAAATCATGTCTTTTTTTATGAAATCACTTTACAAGCCACATCAGCATATGAAATTACTTTACACTATTTTCATAACTACAAACAAACAATTGAAAGTGATGAAAGCTGACATTGGGACCCACTTTTTTACACTTTCCATCCTTTTACATGGTAAAAACATACAACCAAACAGCCCCTTGAGGAAGAAGTCTTTATTTGTTCGAATTGTTATATTTTCCATTTTGATTCCCGCCGCCGCCGCCGCCCCCCAAATTCTAAAGAGAGAATTGATTGCACCAATTGACCCTTCTAGGGCTGGGTTGACCCACGGGCTGACCCGCTCTAGCTTATCACCTGTCACGATTCAACTCCACTCATTAGTCTGTCTTAACTTGTTATGGATCACAATCCGACTCAGCCCACAACCCCGACCTATGACGTACTCGGGTCATCGGTCGCATTGGGTCCAACTCTATTCCCGAGATCAAAGAAATAAGCCTCACCCATCTCAGCCCGTCCTGATCTATGATATTTTTTTAATTTCAGCTTGACACATAATCAGCCCATCTTTAAAATAAAAAATATAAACATAGTGTGTCGCTTGTCGAGTTGAAGAATTAACAACTACTTTTTTTATTTTGGATGTTTGGAAAATTTCTTCATAGTTTTCTATGGGATTTTTCCATAATGGCCCTCCTTTTATTATTTTCTTGCAAGATGCAACACTTGGTGTTTGAATTAATAGTATTTTTAGGAAAAATTGATTAGTAGCCATTTTGCTTAATATGATAAGAAAAATATAGTCTAGTGACAAAACCGATGATCATTATCATTCATACATATTTATGTTTATTTTGTGAAATGAGATGTAACTTGTGTCTTTTTTTAGAAAAAGAAAATTGAATCTTTTTCAAAATAATTAGTGTATTTGCACATACAATGACATGTGAAATTAAGATTAACTTTTCATTTGAATAAAATCTCTTTTAAATGTTAGTTACGTTGTAAAGACTCAATGTTTGTAACTTAGTTGTATGCATCAGTGTAGGAAATATGATTTACCATGAAAATAGAGACAAAATAATCTCATTATAAATTTTGAGTTCCATTTTTTATGCCTTCATGATATATTTCAAATTTTCAAATAAATTAATAAATGTATTATAATATTTAGTAGAATAAATATGAAAAAAGTTCATAGTTAGTGGCCTCCAATGAGTAATCGTATGATATATTTATGTTTAAATGGAAAAAAAGTTATTGCAATAGCTATTTCCTATAGATGGTTTGACGAGTATAAGTGATACAACTATATGTTTTGTTTTTATCCTTAAATAATATCCTATACAACTTTTTATTTTGTTACAATTAGAAGTTCAATGCTCATGAATAAAGACTTTGTTAACAAGTCCTTTAAAAATATATTAATGGTTAATGCTTCTATTACAACAAAGAGATGATATTTATTTTCAAACAAAGATATAGTTTAATCAATATTAATACAAGAAAAGATAAAAAATTAAAAAGAAAAAAATGTGAGCCATGGTCCGACCCGCGATCTAAACAGCATTGGACCGGGTCAGATTCAACCTACACACTATGTAGGTTGTGGGTCAGGCTAGATCTAGTCTTAAGCCCGGGATTAAAGAAGTAGAACCGGGCCACTTTGACCCGGTCTGGCCATGTTCAGACCAGGCTCGGCTTAAGTCCAATCGGGCTGGCTCACAAGCCTAAACCGGCCCAGCGCATATCCAACCTTAGACCTTCAAGATGTTTTTAGTAAAGCTCTTCTACCTTGAGAATGTCTACCATTTCTTATATACGTGAATAACGTTAGACCATATAACTAAAAAGATTTTTATATAATTATTTCATGTTATATTACAATATGGAATTTAAAATGAACCTCATTTATCAATTTGGTATTTAAAATAGCCACATCGTTCTTTTGGTATTTATAATTTGGCAAAGGGTAAATTGGATATCAAATAACATCGACGGTAAATTTTTTTCGACGAGAATTGTACAATGGTTGTTGGTTGAGCATTGTAGATTTGGACTTGGATTTTTTTCTTAGATTTCAATTTAGGGTGTTATTTATTTTGAACTAAAAATTGAATTTAAATTGAAGGCGTTATTAGTTTAGGACTAGGATTCTGATTTATATTTAAAATGTTATTGGTTCAAGACTACAATTTGGATTTGAATTTAATATATTATTGGTTTAGGACTAGGATTTTAATTTTAATTCAATGTGTTATTGGTTGTCTATGATTGTTATTAGGACTAGGATTTCAAAATCCACACTCTATTCTAACTTTATAGTTTTCAATGAGAAATTTTCAAGAAAAAGTCCAAGTTAAAATTGGTATATTATGATCTTACTCTAAAGATTCTCTCTCTCCTCTTCTCTTTACTTATTTAAATATTAATTATATTTCAAATTGAATATATTTAGTTTTAAAATATTCTATATTTCTAAATTATTTATATAGTAACATTGAATGTTTTTTATTTTAAAATATTTGTAATCAACTTATGTAAATTTATTTAATTCCTTTAAAATAAAACATATTTGATATTATTTAATCACTTAATATATTTAGTATTTAATATTAAATTATATATGTTTATTAATTAATATTTCATAAATATATAAATATTTTAATATTTGATATTATATTACATACATTTCATTTTTATTAAGATGTTAGATATGAAATATATATATATATATAAAATCTAAAACTTTAATATATCAAATAATAAAAATATTTAATATTAAATCATTCAAATAATTGATGCCAAATGTTTGATATAAAATTTTATATTTAATATTTTCATATTTAAATATATTAATTAGCTCTTATATCGTCGAATACTAGTTATTTTCTTTTATGTACTTGAACACTAGTTATTTTCATTTATGTGCTTGAACATATATGTGTTTAGATGATTACAAGATGTATTTAGTTTTGTTGTTTTCATCCCGTAATTGAAATGACTGTGGTTTTTCAAATTAATATTTACTTTTATTAATAATTATTATATACATAATAACTTAATTTCAAGCTCCTCATGCAAATAATCCAAGAACCTGACCCTTAATCTATTAATCCAAATCAAAAGTTTAATAATCCAAACCAAAAGTTTAACAATTCTATTCAATAAATAAAAAACCCAATCCAAGAGTCTGAGGCTCTAGCTATAAAATTTGAGTTCGGTACTTAATCTAAGAATGTCATATTCATGGACAGTTGTGTGAGTCTAAATCAACAATTTGAAACGAATAACACCGCTGTAGTTTTTTTCTTCGTTCCTTCCCATGACCTTTTAAAGTTATTATTGTATTTTACACCGTTCTTCTCCTTCACCCTTCCCAAACTCAAAATTTTTTTCTAACCCTTTTATCTAACACCTCCTTCACTCTCTCTTTCACTCTCATCAATAGAGCTCATTCTTCTCCTTCAACTTCCTCCAATTCAAGCTGAAAATCCTAATCCAAAATGATCAAACTCTTGTTCGGATTAGTGTTTGGATTAAAACAAGGAGAGGTTGAAGGAGAAGGAGTCATCCAACTGATGTATCGAATGGAATTAAAAGAATATAGAAGAGAGTTACAATTGCAAGGGGAAAACATAAAAGGTAGATTTTTGTGGAGCAAGCAAGGCTCTACTCTTAAGATTTTATTATTTTGCTTCTCTTAACTAAGTTGATTTACATGTTATAATCATCTCTTCAAGTAGAGATCTTAAATTTGAATAGTATTTTTCTATAATAATAGGAGTTTCTATTTAAATAAAATACTTCTACAAAATTTTTATTTAAATATCACTCAATATGAATCGGATTATAACTTCTAAAAGATTAGGATGCCTTCCAAATCTGTAATTACAGAGTCCCAATTAAGATAGGACACTCTATGTAATTCAAGTCCTACAGAATTCTAACCATAATAGAACTCATGCTCCTAATTACAATAAGACTCTTGCTCTTAATTGCAATAAAGATGTGTTTGGTTTAGGGGTGGGACTTCATGCAGTTCCAACAATGTCCAAGCTCTAATACACACGTTTGTTTTGAAGTAGTTAGAAACCCTAAGTGTTGTTGCAACAACAGGAACTCCTTACAATAAGGTTGTTTTAATAGCGCTCAAATTGAACTGTGTTGCAACGTGAGAAGTTGAAATGCTTCTTTTTTCCTCACATCTGTGATTTGGGAAAATAGAGAAGTGGTGCTTTCTCCGTTACAATCACCTCTTTCAACTCCAAACACACATGATCAAATCTATACATTTTAATCTATGCAACGAGTTGATTTGAATTAATTTTCTTGCTAAGAGTATACTTACTATGATAGTTGACTCATTTGATAATGACCTAGAAGATCTATGTATAGATTTAATTTTGCAATTGCATATGTTTACATTTTTTTCCTATGAAACATAAATCTTAGATTTCTCGTAGTTTGAGTTCAGCGCTACTTTGATATTTCCTTTGTGGATTTTAGCATGTGAAATGAAACTATTAAATTCTTATAAGATATTTTGCTTTTATTAGGAAGATCACATAAAAATTTCTTTTGATTTCTTATTACATATACACAATATGAACTAGAAAATTAATATTTTTAAGATGTATGTTAGAATTAATTTTGTAATATATTGGGTGAAAAACTTAGTTTTGAAAAATTAAAATTCTAAAATATATTGGATAATGCTAAATTCATAATAATTTTTGAAGAAAAAGAT